ATGAACCTAGCATTGTTAGAGGGCGTCACAATATTCAACTACTATACGAATGTTCTAAGAATGGTGTATGTTCATCTCAATCGATAAAATCTTACGCATATAAGCCATCCTCAACCGATCAAGTCTCGTACTATCACCCTTTTGCAAACCACAATCCCACACATACACTAATTTCCCCATGAAACTATCCATGTACCGCATCCCAAAGACCGCTCAATCCACTTTGTTCTGTGCATCGCGCCATCGCATCTGTATCCTTTTAGGAATAATCCTCCATACAACTGCCCCATACCGAACATCAACCACATCGTCAAGGAATACAAACAAAAAATTCTTCTGGAAAAAGAGCAAACACCATTAGGAAACAATGGGAATTAAATGAACAACAAAATCAAATATTTGGACAAAAGCATAATGTGTGCAAACAACAGAAAACATAAAGAGCGCACTTTGGAAGTTCACTGTGAGCCGCAATGTCCCACAGTACAGAAACCAGTCTGTTGTGATACAGAAAAATGTGCACATTGGTTTATCAGTGAGTGCTAAAACGTGTAAAATAAGTTTCTGTCCAGAAAAATTAAACACAAGTTGACATGTCATTGGGATGAAACATGAATGGCAGAATGCGGGATAAAACAGTTAGCAAGAATACAGGACCAAAGTAAAAACAAAGACACAAATGCTAATCAAACACATACCAGCACCTCCGGAGTCGCACCGTACTTGTTCGCATTAGCCAGGGTTACAGTGGAATTGTAAAGAATATCACCAAAAAAAAAAAAAAATCGAAAACCCAAACCTGCGCGGGAAGCCTTGGTTACCGAACGAGGGCGCTAAGCATTCCGACCAACAACTCCGACCATAACCCTACCACACCAACGACTAAGGCAAGCGATGAGCGAGACATGCTGACAGGTGAAGGAAGTTTCAATGACGTCGCCGGCGTGACTACAAGAACGGACCACGAACTGGACTACAGTGACTTACGAACGAGATGGCCTGGGTTGCGAAACCGGAAGCGTAGACGTGAGGGCAGACGGGAGTCAAACGAAGAAACTAAAGCAACGTTGTGGAGAAGGACTGCAAACCCCAGTGCCTTATTCGCACCCCCCCTCCCCCGCGATCAGATAACAAAATACCCAAACTATCCCCCAATTCCAAAAATAAGAAGAAAAATAACGTTAAAAACACCTAAAACTAATAAATTAATAATAACCATTGATCACTCAAAATAGACGGTTTTGATGGGTTCTTAGGTTCCTATCTAAAAGGCAGTTCTTATTTGAATGTAAATCTATATATATATATATATATATATATATATATATATATATAACTGCCGGCTTCGTCTCCAAGGGACCAAGGGCTTAAAAATTATTTTAAAAAATTATTTTTAAAATCAGTAACTTGTTACATAGGTAAACAAGTCATTTTGGGCAAAATTGCATGTTTTTGTGTTATTTAATGGTTCAATTGCATTCTTTTTTAGTTCAATGGCCTAATTGTAATTTGGTGCGCAGTTGAGTGGCTTATTTGACCCTTATTCCTATATTATATATAGAGTTTTTTTACACGCTTTGCACGAATGGAATAATGCCCAATGATTATTTTTAAATAAGTATTTCAAAGTATATTAATGCAATATTATATAAAAAATTTCATGCATAGGTAAATAAATGTTGAATTTGTTTATTTAAATTGGTAATTTAAAGTATATAAATGCAAGATAATATATGAGAGATTGATTATAATTGTCACTAAAATAAATGTTTGCAACTTTATAATAACGCTAGTCTAAATACTTAGTCTAAAAGCGATAGTCTAAATAACTATTACTTTTGGATTAAATTTATCTAATTCTTCTTAATTCTTTTTGGGGTAGCATTGTCATTGTCTTCATCTTCGGTACATGTCCTCTTTTCTTTTTCTTTTTTTTAAAGTTAATAGTGTGTCATGTGAAATTTGGTTACTGGTGGTAACATAGAGGGATTCAATAAAATGAAATTATGGTGTAGAAAGTTATAAATTTGCCTTGTTGTATATATGATTGTGATCTTAGTTGTAATATGAACTCTTTATTTTACAAGCACGTGTTGATATTTGGTAGTGGTAGTTATAATGTGAGATGTGTGTTGTAGGTTATATGTGAAAGTATTGATCAAAATATTACTCGTAATATTTATTATATTTGTATACAATACTTGATATATATATATATATATATATATATATATATATATATATATATAGGGGTGATCACATGTGGTCATGTTGTTAGGTGTGGTCATATGGTCAATTACAGGCCATTAGATTAGATAGATCCATTGAATCACATTAATCAAGATTCTTCCAGTATTTTCGCGCACATTCTCCTACCTAGCGAACTACAAGGGTAAACTCGTCATAAGGCATCGGAATAGGGAGAATCACATTATTGTGTATTTTATTTGTGTAATTGGTGCATTATTAGCCTTACTCGGGTGTATTTGTAGATTCCCATTGGTGCCAAGTTCATGTGCGGCAATGCCTTCCCGTGTGGTCAGTGCGGCGGCACCTATTGTTATACAAATATACACAATCCATATTATGAAATGCACAACAAAAAATATACACAAATTAGGTACACATCACCAAAAGCGCGCCATTAAATATGAATAAATACACCATATAGTGTTCGGAAATACACTATTGGTGTGTTTCACTGTGATGTGTTTTATTACACTATTGGTGCATGTTGTCAACACTGTTGGTGTATTCTGAAACCCGGCCGCTATAAATGACCACTGTAATTACCATAACACCCCCACGCGCGAAAATCCTCAGAATTAGCCACTGTCGTTAGATTAAACTGATTCAACGACATAGATACGACCACACCGCCACACCTAATGACATAACCACATATGAGCGCTCTTATATATATATATATATATATATATATATATATATATATATATATATTGCATTATAACTTTGTTATACAAGATAATGTAAAAAAAAAACAATGAAGCATGTAGTGAACAAAATTTGAAGGAAAGGAATCTTTAAATTGTAGAAAATAAAGATAATATAACTAATGAAATTATATCTCTTTTTAAATCTTTTATAATGAATAATTTTTTAATAAAAATAAAAATAAAAATAAAGACATTATGGACATCTAATTCTAAATTAATTTAACACATATATATTATTTTTGTTGTAGCTACCAATTTATTTAATTTAATAAGGGTAATAAAGTGGCGTACATATTTTTCATCAACAATAATGAAATCATTTTTTTAAAATTTTCATTCATTGTTGAGACAAATTGTTTTTGAGAATTAGTCAATGACAATTGCTACAATTACTATTAATAGAGGACGATAATAAATAATTCAAAATATATGGTTACAATAAATATTGTTATAAGGATATAGTAAAAAATTAACTTGCAACTTTCTTTAAAAGTTTTCATACATTGATAAAATTCTGATCGCGCTGGTCTAACAATGACAATTGTGTCAGATAAAAAATAATATGAACAATTCATTTTAAAAAATAATTATACCGACATTTTTTTGTTCCAGTTAAGGACCTAACATTATTAACTCTTATTAATTTTGTAGATGTAGATTTATATAGTAGTATGATACTCATGCGATGCACAGATCAAAAGTTAAACATTAATGAACTTATTTATTTATTGTAAGATAATCATTTTTTATGTGGATATTACAATTCTTGTAAGATTTCAAATTTGGGATTTAAACATAAGTAATAAGCATTAGTGTTATAAAATCGAAAATTGTTATTTTAAATTACAAATTTACAAAGACCTCTTTGTAAACTACATTAATGGTTGAATTACAACTATTGCCTATCTTTTCACACTAATGTTATAGCATAAACTTTGATGCTCTATCAAAGTTGACTTGATTCAGCAGACAAGTCACAACGTCCTCCCCCATGCTCTATCACAGTTTCTTTTTGCAATAGGACTTTATAAACTTGATTCTGACTATTTTCTTTGTCCAGAGGACCAGCTCAGACGAATATCTTAATTAGATCTCTCATGCTTAAAAAGCAGAAGGCTGAATCTGGTTCAAAAGATGGAAAAAGTATTCCTACGAGTGAAAGTTCAAGAAAAAAGGTATCAGTTTCACATTCTTCTGCATATACATCTCATGAAATCTGTGAATGATGTTTTACTAGCGAGTTCCTGGAGGTTATATTGTTCTGGCTAACACATTAAATGTTATCTTACTTACCAAATTATTACTTTTTTTATTATTCTGGCTAACACATCAAATGTTATCTTACTTACCAAATTATTACTTTTTTTTTATTATTCTGGCTAACACATCAAATGTTATCTTACTTACCAAATTATTACTTTTTTTATTGTTCTGGCTAACACATCAAATGTTATCTTACCAAATTATTACTTTTTTTTTATTATTATTCTGGCTAACACATCAAATGTTATCTTACTTACCAAATTATTACTTTTTTTATTGTTCTGGCTAACACATCAAATGTTATCTTACTTACCAAATTATTACTTTTTTATTGTTCTGGCTAACACATCAAATGTTATCTTACCAAATTATTACTTTTTTTTATTGTTCTGACTAACACATCAAATGTTATCTTACTTACCAAATTATTACTTTTTTTTATTGTTCTGGCTAACACATCAAATGTGATCTTATTTACCAAATTATTACTTTTTTATTGTTCTGGCTAACACATCAAATGTCATCTTACTTACCAAATTATTACTTTTAGAGGTGTGGAGAGAGCACTGGATGGTAGAACAACAGTAAAGAAGGCTGCAAGCAGCAGTCAAGCCGCTTCTCGCCAAGGTAAGCCTGTAACTATGACCTCTGTTTGAATGTGCTATTCGTGAGATTCTCCGACCAGCTAAAGTATGTATAACCTCATGCAAGCAAAGTATCGTGATGTGCTCATCAGAATATTTACCCACAAAAAGACTAATGAAAAAGAAATGTCACACATGGGTACTGCCAATGCTGCTTTGTTATGCCAGTATCTCCCCCATCTTGCCCCCAATAAAAAGCAAGCTTCTTATTCATACAGGTTCAGTCAAACAGTCCACAAACCTGGAAACATCATGGAGAAACAAGCTAGCATTTTTTCTCCTCATTATAGAGACAACATTGAACCTGAATTCTAGTTGAGTGCTACCTCCTTCCCTGTTGGACCTGGCAAATCATAGCCTCAACGGAGCCTTTCAGGTGAAGTCTAAAGGTGAAATCTAGTCCCATGCAGCTCAAAATATTTACCCACGAAAAAAGTTCATAAGACTGAGTTTTGAACTGCATGAAATCAAAAAGAAACATGAATCATTGTGCCATTGCGGTTCACTATGGGTATAGGTCCCATCTTGCTCTCATTAATGCCTTGACATTCAACTCGGGTCCAACAAAAATCACATGCCATTGAGCCAAATGTAGTATCTAGAAAAACATCATGGGCAACAAGTCAAAATCTTCTTCTTTTCAATCTAGAGGCATCATTAAACCCATCACCATGCCAAAGTTGTGGTCGATAGTTTCCTTCTTGCTCTTCCATGTTTCTCATTCTCCTAGGTGCAATCCCAGGTCCAGTTTCTATATGTGCATCAAATTCCCTTTCCCTTGTATTGGTTCTTTCCATGAACTCCGCATCTTCCTCTGGAGAGGACCCAAAATTCCTAGGTCCACCATCTGGATGGAAACGGAAATTTTCAGTGTCATTGCTATAAGGAGGTCTGAAAGAACGAACGCCTCGTCTCTCAGTAAACTTTCTTCTCTCATCACTACTTCCATCCCCCCGAAGCTCATGCAATCTACTCGAATTTATTGGCCCACTAAAGTACTCATCATCATCCACCCTCTCTCGGCAATTTACACCATCAGCTCTCCTAGTGTTTCTAGGAAAGAGACGATTAGGACTTCTACTGGATAAGGAATTTGGGTGCCCATGTTCCTGCATAGCATCCACATCCCTCATGTTGTTAGAAGAACGAGCCACATAGGATGGAGAGCCACGCCTTCTAGGAACTATTTCCTCAGAAAAATAATCACATTTAGGAGACCTCATCCTATCTACACGATACATAACTGGAGATCTACGCTGTTGCAATTCAGAAAGATCATCAAGTCCTTCCATAGCTCTTCTATGAGAAGAAGTCCAAGGGCCAGGGGAATGCCTTTGAGATCCATCTGGAGATTTGGATCGCATTCGAGAAAAATCTCTCCTTTGAATGGTGGGGAAAAACTTTTTGCCACGGACAAATTGCCCATCTGATCTATATAAAGGATCAATAATATCATTCGGCAAATTCCTCACAAACCTCTCACCATGCCTAAGTCCGACAAACTCTGAACCATCTTCATCAATACATCTACTCGGACTACTATTTCTAGGCATCCTACCAAGTATTTGAATGCCCATGGTTGCATGACCATCCCTGTCAGGAGAAAGCCTCCTTGATGAAGAATGCCGAAAAGAAGGTGACTCACCATTCAAGTGTTTCCTTCCTCTACTTAGACCCATAACAGCTCCATTTGGTGAAATATCAAAGTCATTCCGTTCAACTTCAGCATCACCAATGGCAGCAGCACGCTTATGTCTAGGAAAACAGTAATCATCCCGCCGAGTGAAGCTAAAATCACGCTCAGAATCCCAATAACGATGTGACCTACCAAATCGGCCCGAAACTCGTCCTCTTCCACGCATGAAACTTACCCTGGAGCTTGCATAAGGACGATCTCGAATTCTCTCTCTGGCATATTTGTTTGAACAATCAGTGTACATTTCACCTCTGAAAAGAGCAAATAAAATCAAGTGCCATCAACCATTTAAAAAATTAAAAATAAACACAGATTAAAGAAACAATAAAGCTAAAGAGTATATTCACCTATTCCCACTAAGATGTAATCTCTCATCCTGAGCATCAAAATATCTTTCCCTTCCACTTCGTGATGACAATGGTCTACCCATAACAGATCTGGCTTTACTAGGGGAAGTGGAATTAGAAGTCCGAGGCAAATTGATAATCCGGCTCTTAATTGCATTAGAATCTCTAGCACTATTACCATTTAGAGGTGTTTCAGCATTGGCCAAACTAGAGTTTAACTGTTCTGCTTTGTTAGTTCCATTGGCATCTTCAATCTTGGTAACAGTTACTCTCATATCATTGCTTGCATCTAATGCTCCATCACCTAAAACACCCTCTATATTTTCCTCTTGTCTATCTTCCGCTCCTGCTTGATCAAAATGTATCTGTTGAGTAACATTTACAGGCATAAAGTCATAAGAACATGTTGGCACATTTTCTGATATTGAGGTCGACAAAGAACCACCTTTTCCCAAGACTTGATCAACTATCTTATCACAAACTGTGTCGCCGCCACACTCTTTTGAACAATCATTAATTGCCTCATGATGAATCATGGCAATTTCATCTTTTTCATCACAACTAGATTGGACATTATTATCATTAGATGAAGTAGCCATAGCATGAAGGCCAGAATCAATGTTTTTTTTTGAATCAGTTCCCAAAGCAATTGTATTTTCTTTTGTTAACTGCAATATTGGCTCCCGCACCTCACCATCTTCATAATCATCATCTTCCTTGCCACAAGGCCTACCTTCATCAATATGGACAGTACAAGCATGATTGCTATCTGATTCATAATCAGAACCATACAGTTGTTCTTCTTCCATATCAACTGATATATTCATATCTTGCTCACCACTCACAGATCCCTCACAACTTGCAACCAAAGCCTGATGCTGCTCATTAACTTGCTTCAACTGTGACATTTCCAAACTGTCAATTTTCACACCCTCTAACTCACAAGCATCTACTTTAGAACAAGATGAATTCAAACCTTTTAAAGCAGAATTTTCATTTTGAATAACTATACATGCATTCATCTGATCTAATGCATTGTTACGAGCATATACTTCTTTAGTATGAACAGAATGTTCAGATTGATTTGATAACTCCCCGCTGACAGACAACTCTGAAAAGGTAGCCACTCTTGCACTCAACAGCTTTTCAGGGGTCAATGGCACTAACAAAGTAGAAGAGCTCTCTTTTGATGGTACAACATTTCCAACAGATTGGTGCAATGTCATGCTGGACATCCTGCAGCTTTCTTGATTAGTTTCCTGTAAAGGTTCAGATTTTATAGATTTTTTCTCAATAAGCTTTTCTGCACACTTGATTGGAAATTCAACAGGTAATATGTTTCCCCTCTCACTTTCATCAATAGGTTCTACCTTAACAGTATCACATCCAACAGAATTCATGTTTGTAATGGTTCTAGGAATAGTATGTGGAATTGAGTCTGCCTTGGTCATTGAACCAAACTGCCTCTTACTAAAGTCCAAACCATGGAAAGTGTTACCAAGACTAAGGAAAATTGAATCCTCTGACTTGCTAGATTGTTTACTAGATATCTGCTCAAAAACTCCACAAATTTGCTTCCCTTTATCACTGCAAGCACCAAGCATACTAAATGAGCTTAAACTAGGTTTTAAGTCATCTCTAGTACTGATTTTGCTTAGAGCATCAATATTATCTGTATCTTGAAAGCCATTACCAGAACCCTCCCATGCATCCATAGTAATGTTCAAATCCCAGTTTGATCTATTAGTATCGATATCAGGACTATCATCATTGGACCTACTGTTTGATCTTCCAATTTGAGAATCAATAGCTTTTTCTTTGTTCAAAGAAAGAGATAACAATGATGTATCCAAATTATTAGGCATCTCAGAACCTCCTCTGTTTTGCACTCCCAAAGGAAGGTTATGTCTTTGTACTCCCAAAGGAAGGTTATGTCTTTGTGGTCCTAAAGACAATTCAATGTTTCTTCCTGAATGTGCAGAAGATTGAAATTTAATGTTGCCTTCTGCTTGTTTACCAATGTTTTCCATCTTGACATTAACTGGAATGTTTTCTACAACTTCAAGGCTGCTTTCAGTCAACGATCCCTTAACACAATTATCAGCACTATTGGTAGAACCTGAGCAAATCTTCCTGTTAATGACCTCAACTTTGGATTCCAAAGATTCCTCATTAATTTGGGCAGAAGTAATGTTTGCTGCAGCTTCAGCAAGTATGGATCCAAGAGGCTCCTCAGTGGATTGAACAGAGGTCTTATCTGCTTCAACTAGTTTGGATCCAGATGAATCCATGACCGGTTGACCAAAGCTAACATGTGCCCCACCTGGCCTTTCTTGTTTCACCTCCAAAAGAGGATTCTTGCTAACATCAGATTTAATGGTACACCCAACAGTATCAATAGGGTTGAAAGATGATCTTTGGGTAGAACTAGATTCTCCATTCTTTAAATTGCTTTCATCATGAAAAGAAGTTCCCTCCTCAGGTGGAGGAGATGAAGGCAAAACAAACGGGAACCTTCTCTTCTTTATAGGGATACCTGTCAATGAGCTACTAGACTGCATCGCAAGCTGCATATACAAGATACATGAGTCAATTCATATTAAACCAAAGGAAACTATAGCAATGAAGACATAGAAGTTAAGAAACAAATCATAAGTTAGATCATAGATGGAAACCTCTTCTTTCCCAGAAACTGGCATGCACCCTGTAACAGAAAACTCTTAAAGCTTCAATATTTTATCTTTAGTAAGTATCACTCTGTCCTGTAACACATCTGATCACTCACAATCCTGTAAAGAACACACTCTGCACAGACAAATTTCAATACAGTTAGGAAGAAGAAAAAGGAATAAGCATAATAGAGAGGCTAAGCTTAACAACCACAGAATAAGTGGTTGTCAAACTTTCACCAAAGAAGGAAATAAATATAAATATTTAGCCATAAAATAGAAAAATATAATAAGTAAGGTGCAATCAACACTTAGAGAAAGCTACCACTTATCATATTATTAAAGTTAGTTTAAAAGTGAACAATTTAGTTATTATATTTAAATGTTTTTATTATTTTATATTTTTATATAACTAATGCATTTTATTATTTTATTATGTGTAAGTAATTTATATATTATTTTCAAAAAAAGTAATAATAAGATGCCAAGTAATGTAAATAGTAAATAGTGAATAATTACATGGATGGATAGTAAATAGTGAATAAATTAGTGATGTGCCATTTTAAAAGTGAGAGAAGATTGCATGAGTAGAGGTAGCGTAATAAGTGTACAAATAGTTATTTTTAAGGATAAAATCAAGTATGTATATTAAAAAAAAATTATGGTGGGAGAAATTTCATAAATCTTATCTTATCTTATATACTCTATGTAATAGCAAAAAATATTTTGCCATATCATTTTCCCACCAACGCAAAACTGTGTCGTTTTATTGTAATAAAAGAGAACTGTTCACACCGTTTGTTACATCTAAATGAGCCTTTTCATGTTTATATTAAAAGTTTTAACATTAATTTAAATTTATTATTAGTGATGGGAATCCGCCCCGCCGCAGCATTTAAATACCCTATCTTGCATTCTTTCTCAAGAAAACATTAATTAAAGCCCCTAGAGAAATTGTATAGAAGTAGTGCATTATGTAACAAAAAAATTATATGATGTAAGAAAATGTTGGCAGGAAAATATGATATATGGTTCTTTTAAGCATTTATTGCCAAATATGTTATTATTCTACTATGAACAAAGTTACAGCCCCTAATTTTGGATTATGCTATGTAGAACCTACATATGTTCATCAACACATGATTGTAAGTCAGTTATTAGGAAAATAAAGTATAGATTCCAATTCAGAAAACGGTAATAAAAACCCCTAAAAATTAAGTACTGGATTTGAAATTGAGTGATTTTTTTAAACTCCACTGAACTAACACTCTATTTTATAGTGCAAGAAGACCAAGCAAATGGATTGCATGAACATACTCCCTCAATCAAGCATTTACCAACTGGACCAACTTTCCACAACTCTTCAAAAAATCATTAAATGTGGAATGCTTTTTGACTGCCTAGATATTTGGTTGGCAGTGTTGGTTTTTAAAATGGAAAATTAACACTTAATAAGTGCTTGGTGTTTTCAAAAAATCATTAAATATGGAATGCCTTTTGACAGCCTAGATCTTTGGTTGGCAGTGTTGGTCTTTGAAATGGAAAATTAGCAATTATAAGTGCTTGGTGTTTTCAAAAAATCATTAAATTTGGAATGCTTGTTGGTTTGTGAAATGGAAAATTAGCACTTATAAGTGCTTGGTTTGGAATGTTTAGTCGATTGCTGAAGAGAAATTCGGGGAAAATGTCTACTCTTATGTGCTTGCAATTTGTCTATATTTCATTTTTTTTAATACATTTTTTTAGGTTGCTGAAAAAAATCACAACTAGAAGCAATGGCATATCATATGAAAAGGAAGTAAGAAACAAAGTTTGTATTCTTTAAATTATACAATTGTTTGAGTGATTACCCTACATGTGGTAGAATAGAAGCAATGATCAAAGCGTTAGGATTCTTTTTCATGGAATTAAAAATTTAAGTTTAAACATATATACTATTATAATATAACTAAATTAAAAATGAAGTTTAAACATATATACTATTATAATATAACTATTACAATTTTAACATCATTTTTTTCCTTTTAAGAGTTCACTTAGTTCATTAATTTATCAACTTCACATTTACTGTTATTATTAGCTCAATAAAATTTATTTTTGTACATATTTTTTAGAAAGGAAAAAACATAACCATTTTAGTGTCCCACATATGTACCTTATATTATTGTAGGAATATAATTATAGGTAAACTATATATAAACATATATTTTTTGTAAAATATTATTTAGTTTTATTTACTATGGAAAAAATAAAGAATCAAAATATGAACATCATCATCTGACTTCCACCATCTTGAAAGTTGGAAATTATAAGTACTAAGTACAAAAAACTGCTCATTTATTGTCAAAATAATTAGCTGTCTTTTTTATTTAAAAAAACTCATGTCAACTACCCAGTCATCATTACAATCTAAAGTCTATTTTTTGACAGTATTCAATCAAATTTTATAATCTCTGAAGAAAATCTAAACATTATTGGAGTAACTAAACAACTACCACTATATCACATTTTATAATCTCTGAAGAAAATCTAAACAGTATTGGAGTAACTAAACAACTACCACTATATCACAAGAAAACAATGAGGAAAATCATTGGATCAACAATTATATGGGGTAAAGTACATCAAATAAAGGTATACCTTTTCTTTTACTGGTACGAGTAAAAGATGGCTATTAAAAAATGATTCAATTGTTTTATTGCATCTCTCTACCCTGTCTGTCTGCCCTGCTTCAAAAGTAATTCAAAATGGAATACAATAAATGAGATCACAGTTTAAATATTAGATTCAGTTTCAATCGACCAAATATTGATCTATATCATATATTCAACAGAATAACATAAAAAATGGAGAAATAAACTTACCTTTGTAGATCGGTAATTTTTAACTGGTGTCCTTTAGTTGTGTAGGTAACGCCGAGGAAATCAGATCTGATGATAAAAACGGCCGATCTGTGATATAGTGGTAGTACTTTCACCGGCGTTAGCAACGGAGAACAGAGGAAATCAGATTTGATGATAAAAACGGCCGATCTGTGACATAGTGGTCGTACTTTCACCGGCGTTAGGAACGGAGAACAGAGGAAATCAGATCTGATGATAAAAACGGCCGATCTGTGACATAGTGGTCGTACTTTCACCGGCGCTAGCAACGGAAAACAGAGTAAATCATATCTGATGATAACAACGGCCGATCTGTGACATAGTGGTAGTACTTTCACCGATCTGTGACATAGTGGTACTACTTTCACCGGCGTTAGCAACGGAAAACAAAACTCCGGTATAGTAAACAAACGTATATACGATATGGACTTCTTTCGTAATCAACTTTCAAAACTGGATCAACAAATCACAACTGAACGAAAAAACAAACAAAACAAGCTGAAATCACTAAGAATTGCGTATGAGAGCATGAAGTCTCGGTGTGTTCGAGAGAGAAGACATAGGCAGAAGACCAAAGGTCGGCGATTAAAGGCAAAGGGTTCGGGAACGCTGTTTATATATGTCTTTTATGAGTTTATCCCGGTTTGGGCTGCCAGATTATAGGTTACATTTGTTGGCCAACACAAAATACATATATGGGCTTTTAGGGTCCGTTTGGAAACTGGAAAATGTTTTCTGGAAAATGAGTCATTTTCTGGAAAACATTTTCCTTTCCGGTGTTTGGTTGCATTCTGGAAAACTGTTTTTGTGTGTTTGGTTCATTTTCTGGAAAATGAGTAGAATTGTATAATTAAACATTTTAATTATTTTATTTAGAATATTACAACATGTATAATAATATATAATAATATAATATTAATTTTAAATATAATAAAAAATAGCTAAGTTTTTCAACAAAAAAAAAAACTAATAATATATCAAAAATATTATGGTGGTGGTGGTGGTGGTGTAGTGGTAGTGGTGTTATTCGTTATATAATAATAATAATAATAATAATAATAATAATAATAATAATAATAATAATAATAATAATAATTGGTGGTGGTGTGATGGTGGTGGTAGTATGACGATGGTGTGGTGGTGGTGGTGGTGGTGGTGGCGGCGACGGTGGTATGGTGGTGGCGGCGGCGGCGGTGGTATGGTGGTAGTGGTGGCGGCGACGGTGGTTGCGGTGGTATGGTGGTGGTAGTGGTGGTGGTGGTTGCGGTGGTATGGTGGTGGTGGTGGCGGTGGCGGCGGTGGTGTGGTGGTGGTGGCGGTGGTATGGTGGTGGTGGCGGTGGCGGCGGTGGTGTGGTAGTGGTGGCGGTGGTATGGTGGTGGTGGCGGCGGCGGTGGTATGACGGTAGTGGTGGCGGCGACGGTGGTTGCGGTGGTATGGTGGTGGTGGCGGCGGCGGTGGTTGCGGTGGTTGCGGTGGTATGGTAGTGGTGGTGGCGGTGGTGGCGGTGGCGGTGGTGTGGTGGTGGCGGCGGTGGTATGGTGGTGGTGGCGGCGGCGGTGGGTGCGATGGTATGGTGGTGGTGGGGGCGGTGGTATGGTGGTGATGGCGGCGACGGTGGTATGGTGGTAGTGGCGGCGACGGTAGTGGTGGCGACGGTGGTTGCGGTGGTATGGTGGTAGTGGCGGCGACGGTAGTGGTGGCGACGGTGGTTGCGGTGGTATGGTGGTAGTGGTGGCGGCGGCGGTGGTGTGATGGTGGTGGTGTGACAACGGTGGTATGGTGGTGGTGGTGGCGGTGGTATGGTGGAGATGGCGGCGACGGTGGTATGTTGGTAGTGGTGGTGGTGGTGGTGGTATGGTGTTGATGATGTTGGTGTAAAAGTTGGAAAATGACTTCCCCCAAAAAAAAGGGGAAGTCATTTTCCATAAAATTGCCTTCCTTTTCCATTGACTTCCACCCCATTTTCCTTTGACCAGTCATTTTCCAATGTAACCAAACACCAAAACCCCGGAAAATGACTTCCAGAAGTCATTTTCCGGGTTTCCAAACACACCCTTAATCTTCTGGGCCTGTTTTAACAATTTTAAATAACACCAACACACTATATATGGCAATTTATATCCTACACCACGGCGCGCGTTGCACTATGCGCCCAGATGCAAAACGACGTCGTTTTAATTATTTTTTTTTTTTTAAATTTCCCGCCCTAGTGAATGGCAGTAGTTTTTTCTTAAAAAAAAAAAACCCGCTGTTCAAGAATGTACATAATGTTATATTAGAATACACATAATGTTATACATGAATGTACATAATTATATAACAAAATATACATACTCTTTTTAAAAGATAATACACATAATCTAACATAATACATAATAAACATAAACTTTTAACATAATACACATCAACTCTTAACATAATACACACAAATTTTCTGATTCGGATGTACATAATTGTATAAAAAGAATGTACATGATTGTATAAAAAATACACATAACTGTATGAACCAATACACATAACATTGTGAACAAATACACATAACGTTGTGAACAAATACACATAATCTCAGCAACTTCCTACGCGCCTCCCAACACTACCCCAAAACGACGTCGTTTTGGGAGGCGCGCGGCGCACAGTACTATGTGCGCCGTGGTGTAGGATATAACGATTGCACTATATATATATACTAGTATTTTATATGCGCGATGCGCAAAAAATATATGCCCAATATTAAAATCTTAATTATATTATTTTTTAAAAAATAATAGTGTGTGTGTGTGTATATATATATATATATATATATATATATATAATTGTATAATTCATATTAATATTTTTGAGGTAAAAATTATAGAATGATAAATTACTATATATAATTATGGTAACATTGTAATTAAAATCTTTTTTTTTTTTTTTTTTGAAAGTTACTGGCTCTATTACATTGTAGTATCTGTTCATATACTTTCTCAACCTACTGAAACACAAAGAACCAATAACGCCTCCACTGAGGCTCGAACTCATAATCTTCCAAATGGAAGTCCAACCCGGGTACCATTGGACCACATAGTCCTGGTCATTTTAATTAAAATCTAAATGAATTAAAACTTACCATTGAAGGATGTAAGAAAAAATTATTGTGTATGCATGTACATAGTAAAATAGTGTGGAAAGATAACAGAAGTTATAACGGCAGGGATATTTTTGTCCAAAAAATTATGTAGTACAACTTTTATAGCATAAGGTACAAAAAAATTTAACAGAAAAATGGGACAAAAATCAGAGGTATAACCTGGATTGGAACTTATTATGTTTATATATATATATATATATATATATATATATATATATATACATCTACATCTATCTACAATTATAATAAGAACCAATAATGTTAGGCCCTTAACTGAAATAAAAAAAAAATGTCGGTACTACTTGTTTCTTAAAATGAATGGTTCATAGTATTTTGATTTTAGTATTTTTAATGATTTTCCTTATTTACCCTTTATTATATTATTTTCTTTCCTTAAATAACCTTAAATTCCGTTAGTATAAACTTTATTAACAAAATATTTAGTTAACAATTTATTATTCTTAAATTACTCATTAATTTCTATAAGAAAGGTCTTAGGTTCGAACCTCATTCCAATTAGAGTTAGCATAATTGTTAAACATATACTACGAATATGTTAAAATGTATTAAAAAATAAAATATAAAATTTAACATAAACTTTGGTCAAATAATTAGCCCGACTAAATACATAGCATTCAATGATTATAAATCAAGAACTTTGATAATCATTTGATTTTCTTTCATTAAAAAATAATAAATTTAAGTTCAGTTTTTTTTTTTTCGTTTAATTAATCTTCTTTTGATTATTGAGAACAAAACTTAATATTTCAATTATGCTTTTATCAATGCATGAAAACTTCTAAAGAAATTTGTAAGTTAATTTTTACTATATTATTATAACAATATCTATTGTAACCTTATATTTTGAATTATTTATTATCATCATCTATTGACAGCAATTGTCATTGACAAGCTCTCAAAACAATTTGTGTCAACAACGAATGAAAATTTAAAAAAAAAAATCAATGATTTCATTATTGTGAATGAAAAGTATGTACGCCACTTTATTCAATCGTTATGCCGTGGAACTGTGTCCACCTTGCAATGTGGACACTGGAACTGTGTCCACCTTGCAATGTGGACACAGTTCTATGTTCATAATTACTGAACTATATGCTCATAATTATAAAGCTATATATTCATAATTTTTTAACTTCATATTCATAATTATTGAACTCTATATTCACAATTACAGAACTCTATGTTCATAATTATAAAGCTATATATTCATAATTTTTTAACTCCATATTCACAATTATTGAATCTCTATATTCATAATTACAGAACTATATGTTCATAATTATGTTCACAACTTTATGTTCATAATTTTTGAACTATATATTTATAATTATGAACAATTTTGGAATCGTGCCCACCTTTGTCCACCTTGCAAGGTGGACACGGTTCCACATCATAATTTTCCCACTTTATTGCTCTTATTACTTAAATTAAAAAATAAATTGGTAGCTACAACAAAAAATAATACATATGCATTTAATTAATTTAGAATTAGATGTCTCACAACGCATGAAACATGTAGGGAAAACTACCACTACCAAATATCAACATGTGCTTGTAAGATAAAGAGTTAATAGCACAACTAAGATCTCAGTCATATACATAACAAGACAAATCTAAAACTTCATACACCATAATCTCATTGCATGATGAATCCCTCTATGATACTACCAATAAACCAATTGCACATGACACACTACCAAAAAAAAGAAGAAGAAGAAGAAGACATGTACTGAAAATGAAAACAATAACAATGCTACCTAAAAGAAAATTAGAAACATTTAATCCAAAAATAGTATTTATTTAGACTATCGCTTTTAGACTTAGTACTTAGATTAACGTTATTACAAAGTTGCAAACATTTATTTTTGTGACAGTTATATATAATCAATCTCTCATATATTATCTTGCATTTATATACTTTAAATTACCAATTTAAATAAACAAATTCAACATTTATTTACCTATGCATGAACATCTTTTATATAATATTACATTGATATACTTTGAAATACTTATTTAAAAGTAAGTATTGGGCATTATCCTATTCGCGCAAAGCGCGTAGAAAAACTAGTATACTTATACTAATAAGAGTCCAAGAGAGTTAAGCCTATAGTGGATATAAAAAATGACGGTCAAATTTTTTAATCAAATGAATGGCTCAGATTGATCAGATTTTAATTTTTTCATGGCTCAGATTTTAATTTTCCCTTGAGATTTTCTAATTTATCCTTAATGAATATGATTATCCGTTATCTTTTCCGTTAAATATTATCTTTTCCGTTGATTTCTGTTAGTTCACCGTTAATTTACCCATTGATTTCAATAAAAAAAGTATTAGGTTCGAACTCCATCCTAATTAAAGTTGGCATAATTAGTACTCTGTTTTACTTTTATTAAATTAAATAATAATTTAGTAGC